TATATATATATATTTATATATACATATATATGTATGATGTTTTAGACTATTAATAACCAAATTCATATTAGTTGTTGGTGTTATTAATTACCTTTTGTTTTTCAATATTTGTACCAATTTGTAATTAAAATAAAAAAGTGTTAAGATTACAACTTAAAAAGTACAAACGCAAAAATTGCGATCAAACGCAAATATGTAGTACAAGGAGGAGAGAGAATGTTACAAATGCAATTTGTCTGAGTTTAAGATTCGATTAGAGAGATTTTGGGTGATTTTGGCGTTATTTTGCGTTTTCCGTCTCAGTTGGAGACGACCTTAGTATCATGTTTGTATTTTGTATTTTGGATCTGATTACTTTCTAACTTTCCGCAATTTGAGTCTAAGCTTCTAAGTTCCCGCAATTTGAGTCTAGGCTTTACCAGTTCATTCAAATTTGAGTCTAGGCTTTACCCGTTCATTCTTTTATGAGCTTACAAGTTACAATTATTGTGAAGCTGTACTAATTGTGAGATATATTAGATGCAAGCTTTACCCGTTCATTCTTTTATGAGCTGTACTAAATGTGAGATATTAAATGCAATTATGGTGTAAATAGACTTTTATGAGCTGTACTAATTGCCAGATATTAAATGCAATAATGGTGTGAATAGACCTGGTGAGAGACTCTGAAAGTAAGATGGGTAAAACTTGATGAACACTTCAATTCGATTGGCTCGAAAATTTGAATGTGTTGCTTGTAACTTAAATCGAACCCTATTTAATCAATTTCCGTAAAAAAAAATTGAGTATTAAAACTTACAGATTATGAATTCATCCGAGCACCAAGTTCATGATTTTAACTGACTCGCTTCTTTACATTGAAGGGCGGAGCTCGAATTTGCAGCTCTATACTCAAGCTAAGCTTGAGCTTCAAGTATTGACCCATACATTTCTCGATTTGCAGCTCTATACTCGAGCTGAGCTTGAGCTTCAAGTATCGACCCATACATTTCTCGATAACGCACGTCTACTTTATCTTGTGGCACTATGGAGAAATTTCTTTCTACGAAATCTGACCAGACGACGAACTTTGGATCGATGATGATATGGTAGGTTACCACGATCCATATATAAAACAATTGTAAACCTTCGAAAGCAAAAGCTAATTGTTCGAATTCAGATACTAGCCGAGCATTTTCCAACGAAACACAGCAAAAGGAAAGCACAACTATTCAATGAAGAATATGAAGTTATGAATGAACATATTCTCACAACTCCAACCAAAATACACACACACACAAATCACACTACTCTCCCTTGGCCTTCTTAGCCAGAGCCTTTCTCCTCTGCCCCATCATGTACCCGTACAAATGCGGGCTACCCGGAACGTAAAGCACGAGTATCAAAAGGGTAGTATAGTAATAATCGAAAGAAAAATTCCATCTGTTGGGCATTCTCACGCTGTACTTACTGGTGCTCTTCATGTACGGCAGCGCACACCAGATCAGGCCCACCTCGCTCCCGATCCCCACAGGGTACAACATCAGAAAAGTGCTGTACCTCAGCCACAGCAGCCACGGCGGCGCGTGCCCGAACGCCTCCTTCAGCCCGAAGAACGAATAGCGGATAATTTCCGCAATCGACCAGCTGACGACGAGGGATCCGACTAGGAAATGGGTCCGGATCTCGGGGAAGCTGTACAGAATGCCCCACGCGACGTAGACCCGACCGCTTACTTGGGGAAGGGTGGCGGCGACCGGAGATCTGACGATTCCGGTCAGGCTGTGGAGGATCTCGAGGAGCGCGGCGGATTGGGCGAGGAGGAGAGGTTTTTCCACGGCGGCGTAGACGGAGCGGTGGCCGGTGGTGAGGAGTGCGGTGGCCGCGAGGTAGAGGACCTGGGACCAGCCGAGGAAGAGAGTCCAGTTGTAGAGGACGAGGTAGGTTCGCCGGAGGGAGGGGAATATTCCGGCCATTCGATATTGGATTGGCGGCGGGTGTTTGGATTTGTGGAGTGCGATGTGTGTGGTAAAGAGATTTTTTTTTTATTATTATTATTATTATTGTTATTATTATTATTTATTTATTTAATTTAGGTAGGTGGGAGTGATAATTTTTTGGGTAGATTCTTATTTCTCTAAAGAAAAAAAGAATAAAATTGGTCATTATAACAAATATTTAGTTATTTATAAGGGAAATGCGGTAGTCCCGTTACGGTACCATCCAGTCGGATGTTTTAACCGTTGGATACACATGTAGTTAGTATAAGATAGATGATCCGACGGTTAAAACACCCGACGGGATGGTACTGTAACGAGACCATAACATTTTCCTATGTTATAATTGTGTGTAAAATAGAATCTACACTCGTATGGGTAAACTGTGTGTAAAACAAAAATTCACGTTTCGCTATTAGATCAACATGTTGGTTTATCATTACTCGATCAACACATAGCCATGTCGATATGTGTTGAAAAAAAAAAAAAAAAAATTAAATAAATAAATAAATAAATATGTAATTGTATTGCAGAACAAAAAAAAAAATGATAATTGCACTGCAATTGTATGAATGCAATTCAAGTTTTTTATCATTTGATCAACAAATTGGTTGTATAAATAAATAATATTATCAAATTAATTAAATAGTTACAAAAAATACACTACTCGTTGTCTTTTTTAACAATATTTTCAAATTAAAAAAAAAAACAAATATTTAACTCAATTAAACCTCTTACTAAATCTATAAAATTGACAGATAAATCATGTAAAAACTCACACGCTCGATATTCTTTTTTAATTTTTTGCTTTTAGATAATTACAATTACAATATTTTCAACATGAATTGCCTATTTGGTTTGACAAAACAAGTCTCAAGAACCAAAAAACCATGCTTGATGCTACAAATAATTCGAATAATTGCTCGCACATATGATGTTGAAGCTACAAACTATACGGAATCTTATTTCGGGACGAGAGGTGAGTTTCTTTTTTTTTTTTTTTTTTTT